GGATTGTAGGCTCAAACCCCAGTAAGAGGGCATGGAGGAGACAGCTGATTGATGTTTTTCTCTCATTGATGTCTCTCTCTCCCTCTCCCTTCCTCTCTCTGAAAGAAATAAAAACATTTTTTAAAAACTATTAAGCAAGGAAAGGTAAAAAAAAAAAAAAAAAAAAAAAAAAAAAAGGCCAGCTCAAGTGGAAGACAGGATGTGTGTAACCTGAATAAAGCCCAGCAATATAGGGCCTTTGCTCAATTAATATTTGACAAAGGAGGCACGAATATACAATGGAGTCAAGACAGTTTCTACAGTAAATGGTATTGGGAAAATTGGACAGACACATGCAAAAGAATATCACCAACTTACACCATTCACAAAAATAAATTCAAAATGGATACAGGACTTAAACATCAGACGGGAAACCATAAAAATACTAGAGGCATCCACAAGCAGCAAAATCTCAGACATATGCCAAAAGAACTTCATCACTGATACTGCCCCTAGGGCAATGGAAGCTAAAGAGAAAATAAACAAATGGGACTACATCAAAATAAAAAGCTTTTTTACAGCAAAAGAATCAATCAACAAAATAACAAGAAAGCCCACTGTGTGGGAGAACATATTTGCAAATAACACCACTGATAAAGGTTTAATCTCCAACATCTATAGACAGTTTATACAACTAAATAAAAGGAAAATGAATGATCCAATTAAAAAATGGGCAATGGACCTAAATAGAATATTTTCAAAAGAAGACAGAAGGAAGGTCAAGAGGCACATGAAAACATGCTCAAAGTCATTAATTATCTGAGAGATGCAAATCAAAACAACAATGTGGTACCATCTCACACCTGTCAGAATGGCCAACATCAACAAATCAACAAACGACAAGTGTTGACGAGGTTGTGGAGAAAAAGGAACCCTCGTGCACTGCTGGTGGGAATGCAGAATGGTGCAACCACTGTGGAGAACAGTGTGGAGTTTCCTCAAAAAACTGAAAATGGAACTCCCATTTGACCCAGTAATCCCACTCCTAGGAATATATCCCAAGAAACTAGAAACACCCATCAGAAAGGATATATGCACTCCTATGTTCATAGCAGCACAATCTACAATAGCCAGAATTTGGAAACAGCCTAGGTGCCCGTCAGCAGATGATTGGATCCAAAAACTATGGTACATCTACACAATGGAATACTATGCTGCCATAAAAAAGAAGGAATTCTCATAATTTGCAGCAACCTGATGGAATTTGAGAACATCATGCTGAGTGAAATAAGCCAATCAATGAAAGAGAAACACCACATGACCTCACTCATTTGTGGATAATAAAGATCATTATAAACTGATGAACCAAAAGATAGATATAGAGACAGTAAAGCAACAAGCAGTTTGTCAAATTACAGTGGGGAGGGGAGGAGGATCTGGGGGAGATAATAGATCAACCGAAGGACTTGTATACTTGCATATAAGTACAACCAATGGACATAAAACTCTGGGGAGGGAGGGGATGTTTGGAAGGGAGGGAGGGGGGCAAAAAAAATCAATAAAATATGTAAAAATAAAAAAATAATAAATAAAATATAAAATTAAAAAAAACTATTAAGCAAGGAAAGGTAAAAAAACAAACAAACAAAAAAAAAAAACAAAAAAAAAAAACAAAGGCCAGCTCAAGTGGAAGACATGATGTGTGTAACCTGAATAAAGCCCAGCAATTTAGGGCCTTAGTTCTGGGCAGAATGGCACTTACAAACATTCCAGCAGACAAAAGTTAAAAAAAAAAAAAAGGTAATTCCAGCCTTTACCTAAATTTCTCAAGTAATATCAAAAGGAATCAAAGTTATAACCCACACTTCTTCTCCTCACCAATTACTACAGTTGTTCAAGGGTCTCTCACTGACCAACCTACCCAGCCCCTGACCTGCAAAGTCCACTTTTAGATTTGCACTCTCCTCTTTCCCAGTTATCTTTCAGTTCTTTTGTGTGGAACTTCCTGATTTTACACTGTCACCTGGTTCAGCCTGTTAAAGTAGATGCTGGCAGGAGACCTAGAAAGCAAGAAGGCCAGGAAGAGCACCCAGAGGAAACAATAAATGCTGATGTCAGTGATTTTTCTCTGTTACGCAAACTTCATAAAAAGAGCCAGATCCAAAGCTGCTGGGTGTGGTCACGACTCCCTCGAATCAAATAAGGGAGCTCAAGTCATGAAACAAAGCAGGTCAAAGGTTTAAATGCAGATTAAAAAGCCTTTTAATATACGGAAGGGGCCCAAGAAGTGAAAACTTCCAAAAACATAAACAGATCCCTAGATCATAATGTAGTTTATTAATACATGCAAATTGCTTAGAATAGGATTGACACTCAATTCATGTAGCTATTATTATTTTTCCTATCTCAGCTCTTCTGTACATACTCCCAGAGCAGAATGTATAGACCAGCAAGCACTGAAGAGCTTAATAACATGAAAATATAGCTGGCTCCCAATGTGGTCCCTGATGCAGAGGCAAAATCTTGAGATTTATCAATTACAAATGAGTCTCAGATCCGACCCTGGAACCAGATACTAATCTGAACTGAGCTAGAGAGAGGCAGAGAAAGGGCCCCAGAACGGGGCCACTCCCAAACCTGACAGGTGCGTAGTCATTGTGAGTGACGTGGGTTTACAAAGTGCTTTTTCCTCCATTTCCCTTTCTGACTCGGTGACTGATGGGTCACAGACAGTGCTCTCTGAGTTCTCTCTGGGGACCCTGCACCCCTGGAATTCTGCTACGCTGTCCTACCTCTTCCCTGTAGAAACTGTATTTCTTTCCTTCAGAAGCTGCACACACAGACTCTGGGATTCTGGTCCCAGCCACTCCTGTGTCGCCCTTCAGCCACATCATCTTCACGACACTAGTAACCCTGCACTCCAGACTCATCTGTTCCCCACAGTGTGAAAGAGCCCACGAAGAGAGTTTATTTAAACTTGTGTTCTTAAAAGATCAGTGCAGAGGTACGGTAAGGAGACCTGTGGGGGGAAATGTTAATCGTGGGTGTGTGAACAGAGCCAGATGGGCTGGGAGACTGTTTCCCCTTAGAACTGTGCTCCCTGGATCATTAGTAGTTTATTTCTGCCTTAGATTATATAGTAAGATGGGTTTACTCCTTTGAGAGCTAAGTGCAGAGATCCCAGACATGAACCCAAGTAGCAAAACAGAGTCCTTAAGCGAGAGTCCTGCTGTTCAGCATTAACCAGGAGAGTCTATTCATTATGAGTAACGAATTATAATAAAGAGAGCTAACACTGATATAGTACTTGCTTATACTAACCGTTCTAAGCACTTTCTGTATCAGTGGTCGGCAAACTGTGGCTCGAGAGTTTGGCCCCTTGAGTGTAGCTCTTCCACAAAATACCATGTGCAGGCGCACACATACAGTGTGACTGAAATTTCGTGGCCCATGCACAGAAGTCGGTTTTCGGCTCTCAAAAGAAATTTCAATCGTTGTACTGTTGATATTTGGCTCTGTTGACTAATGAGCTTGCCGACCACTGTCTATATTAACTCGTTTACTCCTCACAGAGGTCTTACTAGAAACTAAGGCACTGCTAGAAGGGGGAAAGGGGGAAATGAATTCATGGGGAAGCAATCAACAAGTGCTTACTACATACTCCAAAGGAAAACTAGAATAAACAGTTTTTAAGATTACCTAGATTTCTGAACCACATGATCAGCAATTCCTTGTGTAGATATCACTTTCTATGGTGCGCTCGCACTTCTTCAGTCTGATTGAAGGCAGTGCTCCAGCGCTTCTGTGATTTTTCAGAGGGAAGCCAGTCAGTTTATCACCGACTCTCAGCCCTTTGGAGTGCCAGACTGAAATGCTGATTTGCAAAATTATGAAGAGGTCTCAAGGCTCTCTCCAGAAGCTGAGCACGAAAGCCCTGATTAAAAGCATGTCCCACTTGACTCAATTACAATGACCTTGGCTGTGTCCTTGTCTTGGCTTCCTCCTTACTAAACTCAAAATAATGAGAAATTAAGAAAGGTTGGGCTTTCTTTCAGAAAAGGGTTTTACCACCCAGTTAACCAACAAAACAGATTTCCCACCTTAGCCCGTTTGGCTCAGTGGATAGAGCCTCAGACTGTGGAGTGAAGGGTCCCGGTTCATTCTGGACAAGGGCACGTACCTTGGTTAAAAGTTTGATGCCCAGCCTCGGGCAGGGCGCAAGTAGGAGGCAACCAGTTGATGTGCCTCTCTCACATTGATATTTCTCTCACCCTCTCTTTCACTTTCCCTAAAAATCAATGGAAAAATATCCTTGGATAAGGATTAGCAAATGCAAACACAAACACACACACACACACACACAGACAAAAAAAACCAAATCCAAAAAAACACAGATTTCCCACCAGTTGGACTGACAATGAGCAAATAGATGCTTATTTGTTTTTACGGAAATTTCTGTTAGAATGTAATGAGAAAACGATACAGGTCTTTCTCCCACTGGACTACAAACTCCATGAACCCCAAGGAAGGGGTTTCTGTTTTCATTATCTGGTATCGTCTTAGGTCCAGAGTAGTAACTCATAGTTGGCGAGAGATCAGTAACAGAGTTTGAATGAACCTTGTTCATTGCTTGTGCTTCTGCCTGCCCTCGACCCTGCCCCTGCCTTCACTGCACCCCTCCTACAACCCTGACGATGACTGCACCCTGTCAGGCACCTTGTCTCTCATGTAGTTTCACATTCAGTGTCTAAGGTGTGGCTTCCTATACAGTGGGTGTTTTTTCAACAAATAAGTATTTTTATTTTTTTAAACATATTTTATTGATTTTTTACAGAGAGGAAGGGAGAGGGATAGACAGTTAGAAACATCGATGAGAGAGGAACATTGATCAGCTGCCTCATGCACATCCCCCCACTGGGGATGTGCCCGCGACCAAGGTACATGGCCTTGACCGGAATCGAACCCAGGACCCTTGAGTCTACAGGCCGACGCTCTATCTATTGAGCCAAACTGGTTTCAGCTTAACAAGTAAGTAAATAAGGCACAGGCTTCTTCAAAGGCAGGGACCTTCTTTTACCCTGATGCATCACCGGTATACTCATCAAGGCTGCAAGCACAGTGCAGCATAACCGTCTGCTGAATTAATGTAATGTGATCAGAGGGAAGACAGCACTTAACGACCAAGCGACAACCAGATATGTTTTATGATAGTTCAGTCTTCATTAGCGGCATTTATTATAGATGTTTTGCTAAGATAGACTTCATTCCCGGTTTATATGTCTCCTACAGCAAAAGAAACTGGTGAATGTGGGTATTTACAGCACTGACAATGTAAAGCACTGATGGCAGCTAATTTGGGGAGTGGAAAAATAAGTTGGAATCAAAAGACTAGACAACAATGAAGATGAAAGTGAAGGGAGTGACCAGAATTAAAGCACAGATGCCAAAAGATCTTGAATTTGAAGGAGAGGAAAGATATTTTACTTTAGACTTCAAGTAAGGAATTTGTATTAAAGAGTTCAAGGAAAAATCATTAAAAATAATAGAAATAAGATGTGTAAATAAATTCCAAATCATGGGAGGAAGAAAAGGAGAAATAAAGGAAACCAGATGAAACCAACGGAAGGGAGGGGAACAGAGGCTTGACATAAGATGCAGAAATAAGAAATATACCCACATATGCCAGTAATCACAATAGGGTAAGTATAGTGGTTTGGGGAAAACTCTAGATAAACTGGTCAAGGAAGGTTTTGCTGAGGTAACGACATCTTATTATAACAGCAATCACTTCATCAGAGCTAGTACATGCCAAGCCCTAGCCCAAGTGCTTTATATATAGTTTCAATTGAATCCTCACAATCACTTCATAAAAAATACATTATTACCCTGTTTTACAGTTAAGAAAATTGGGATGCAGAGAAGTAACCTGCCCAAGATCACAGAGCCAGTAAGTGAATTTGAATCCAGAGTCCATGGCCTTGACTACCTTGCTGTGCTCCTTGAAGATACTAGTTAATACTGGGGGGGGGGGGGGAGGGGCAGGAAAGGGAGGGAAGAGGGTAGTACGGGAAGAGGAGAAGAGATATTCCAGGCAGAGGGAAAAGCAGGAGCGAAGGCCCTGAAGTTGGGAAGGACTTAGTTCTTTTGAAGAAGAGAAAAGAGGCCACGGTGGCTGAACAGTAACAACAATGGGGCAGTGTAGCATGAGATTGGACGTGAGAGGCCATATAGGCCCTATCAAGTAGCTTCTTTATTTACTACATGTTAGAAGCTGGGCTAAATGCCTTATATTTAGCCTTACATTATAACATTTCTTAACACAACAGTTCTTCTCTGATCATTCCTAGTCAATTAACCTCCTCTGTGCCCTCAGGGCACTTTGCGTATGTCTGTATTGCAGCACTGTTCTCAGTGGGTCTCAGCTAGCTATTGATTGATTGGTCGATTTCCTTAATGCTGAGGACGGTATCATTTACATCCTCAGTGAAAGGCATCCAATAGGCACTTAGTGAATGCCTCCACTTTCTTAGTTTCTGCTGCTGGGACCACCATATTGCAAAGCAAAGCTTTGGAACTACAAATGGGAAGATTCAAGTGAAGTTTTTTTTTTCCTCCCCTAACACAATTAATAACAAGGATACTTATATTTTTATAACTAATGGACCTTCCAAGAACAGCATCTATGCAAGTTTATGTATATTACCCCGTCCCCTATACAAAGCTAAGTCACTATGCATAGGGATCAACTCACTCCTATCTTTCCAAAGTCTTTTCAGACTTAGCCAGGATAACACCCATTTTTTCTAACAGTTCAAAGCACTGGAAAATTCTGTACCTCCAATTTTATTTTATTTTTAAAATATATTTTATTGATTTTATACAGAGAGGAAGAGAGAGGGATAGAGAGTTAGAAACATTGATAAGAGAGAATCATCGATCAGCTGCCTCTTGCATACCCCCTACTGTGATATACCCGCAACCAAGTTACACGCCCTCGACGGGAATCGGGAATCGAACCCTGGAACTTTCAGTCCGCAGGCCGACGCTCTATCCAGAGCCAAACCGGTCCCGGCTGTACCTCCAATTTTAAAAAGTCCCTGTAGATTTGGGAGCAGAACAAATTTATGTGTGTCTACTAATAACAAGGAATTCTAATACAATCAATGTTTTGAGATCAAAACTAGTGGCTGTGACTATTCTATTCATCGTGAAAGTTTCATGCTTCTCAGATTCTCTCGACTAATGTTTCTCAAAATGTACATCTAATATACTAGTAACTGTAGTCTGACTTTAGCGATAGCCATCCAGAAAAGGCAAGAAATCATGGAGAGAATACTATCATTTCTACGGGAAGTAGGAATATGATACAGAATTCATTCAAAGACTGAAGCACAATATCACGGACAGAAAAAAACAAATTTATTTTCCTCTCACCAGAAGGGCTCTGAGGCTCCTACTACTCCTTTCTGACATGGTTCCTACCTGATCCCTTAGTCATCTTTTCTAGATGTGCTAGCACTGGTCAAGATTTTGATATACATTTTCTGAAATATGTATTCCTAAAGTCTGAGGTCCAGCTTTCTTCTCTCTTTTACTGATAGCAAACCAAAGTGACACCACATTCTCAAGCTCTCGTTAAGTTCATGTTACCAAGATATTTCCCACTGGGTCAGAGACCAGTTACAATGGTCTCTCAGCGAATTGAGAAAGCAAAGTTGTCAACAGGGCCAGGAAAGGATGTGTTAAATAGGCTTACTTGCTACACAACCAAACTCCAAAAATGTTCAGTTGAATCTGCCATCATACCCTGTCACTGTCAGGTTGTGTAATGTTGGCAGAGATACAGCCACAAAGAAGCGGCAGAGGGAATTAAAATGGAATGAGGAACTTTACATATAGTCTGCCAGCTGCCCCATGTAGAAAGGAGGCTCGGTGAGCATAGATAACTCGTCCAAAGTTGCATTTTAATTAAAGAGTTTGAAACCCTGATTCAAATTCAGATTTGTCTGACAAAAACATGTTTATTCTATAAAGAGAGGCCAGCCGGAACTTGGGTTCAAAATCTATTCATGTTTTTAATAGGGAAGTCTTAATAATTTCCTAAAGGCCCTGATCTTCTCAGTTCCTTATTGAAGAAATAGAGAAAATAAAAGTACCTATTTTTTAGGGCTGTGGTGGAGATTGAGATAATATATAAGAAGTGCTCAGAACAGTTTCCCATATACATGAATAGACAAATCAATTTATTATTAGGCAAATATATATATATATTAAAGGTCTGGTGCATGAAATAGTGCATGGAGGGGGGGGGGGGTCCCTCAGCCCAGCCTGCACCCTCTCACAATAAGGGACCACACCGGGGATGTCTGACTGCCAGTTTAGGCCTGATCCCACCTAAACTGGCAGTTGGACATCCCTTTCACAATCCAGGACTGCTGGCTTCTAACCACTTGTCTGCCTACCTGTCTGATTGCCTCTAACCATTCTGCCTGCCTGTCTGATTGCCCCTCATCACTCTGCCTGCCTGTCTGATCATCCATAACCACTCTGCTTGCCTGCCTGATCGCCCCTAACCACCTCAGCTCAGCCCCGGCCCTGACAGCTTTGTCCGAAATGTCATTTGGCTGTCTGGTCTAATTAGCATATTATGCCATATATATATATATATATATATATATATATATATATATATATATATCCCCCCCCCCAATATACAGGGACACCTCAGAGAGATTGCAGGTTTGGCTCCAGACCACTGCAATAAAGCAAATATCGAAATAAAATCACACACACACAAATTCACACCAGTTTTTTTTTTTTGTTTCCCTGTGCATATAGAAGTTGTGCTTATGCTATAATTAGTCTATCAAGTGTGCGATAGCATTGCCCAAATAAACAATGTCCATGCCTTAATTAAAAATACTTTATTGCTAAAAACTATCATCTGACTGTCTTAGAAAACTGGTGCCAATAGACTTGTTCAACATGAAGTTACCAAAAAGCTTGAATTTGTAAAAAACACAGTATCTGTGAAGAGAAATGAAGTGAAGTACAATAAAATGGAGTATGGCTATATGTATACGATAGATAGATAGATAGATAGATAGACAGACAGATATGTATGTATGCAAGTGTGTGTATATATACACAATATATTCTCAGAAAAGAATTTTAAAAATATATATTTTCAGTGACTTCAGAGATGAAGGGAGAGGGAGAGAGAGAGAGAAACATTAGAGATAAGAGAGGAAACATTGATCAGCTTCCTCCTGCACACCTCCCACTGGGGATTGAGCCTGCAACCGAGGCATGTGCCTCGACAGGGAATCTGACCATGACCTCCTGGTTCATAGGTCATCACTCAACCACTGAACCACGCTGGCTAGGCAAGAATTTTTCTTATCTTCATTCAAATGCTCTCTACCAACCTCTGCCCTCAGAGCTATGGATATCCTTAGAAACAGAGCTACATAGTAAGTAACACAATGATCCTTCTCCCACAAGTAGTTCTATTTACTTTTGTTTTGTTAAAAAAAAAATTATAAGGAAAGAAGAGAAGAGAAGAGAAGAAGGAAAAGGTAAAGTTAACTCTTCCCTTGCCTTAAACTAGCGATTTTCACCTTTTTCATCTCATGGCACACATAAACTAATTACCACGATTAGCAGGTTAGCATGATTCCTTTTTATAATACCCTTATCCCTCACAATGCCTCGCAGGGGTTCTTGCACACAACAGGCATTTTAGGCCTTTGTTGCACAATAGCTTTGTATAAGGATAAAGTCATACAGTTTTGTTCTCTTCAGGATGATGTAGATCCTTGCGTAGCCCCCAGCACACAAGGTCACTGGGTCAGGGTCAGGCAGCCTGAGAGGTCCCATTTACATCGTCACAGCGGGCACACTAAGTGCAAGAGAGTACAGCACAGCTTGGGGCTCAGAACTCACCAACCACAAATCCAGTTCCTAGGAAACTCGGATATTGACGTTCATGCAAATGAGGAGGCACTTTGTACCTGTCCCCTGGTTTATAGAGTTTGAAATAAATGAACATTGGGCTTGGCAAGGCCATTACCTCAGCAGCAAACTGTAAGTAAGTGACTTCTAATTTGGTCAAGTCCAGCTTAAACAGAAGTCTTGACTTGCTCCAAGACAATACAATACATAACAATTAGTTTAGGTCATTTTACTTCAGCCTCCATGTAATGAAGAATAACTGTTACAGTATTTTTGAAATGCTTCCTAACGGGTATCCTCTTGCTGACAGAGCAGCTTCTCTTCACATACTCTGTACAGAAAGTGCCTTTTTATTTGAAACTAAGCTGCAAGGGGGATGTGCCATAGGAGAAGCCCTGGCTGTGGGAGGGGAGGTCAGAGAGAAGCCTGCACCTTCCAGCTCTATGGGGAAGAAAAAGGGTAGAAGAGATGAACAAAGACATGGTCCTCATTCACGTGCACTCCCTCTTTGTCATCAAGCTGGTTCAACTCAGTGAACAATGGACCTTCACAAACACTGTGCCTCACTTCCCCAGACACAAGAGGAGGGTGGCGTGGGAGCAGGTGCTGGGATGCAGTAGCAGGACGTGGCCAGAAAAGATGAATGTGGGGCAGCGCTGCTCACTCCCTAAAACCTGAGCATGGACAAGCAGGGTATCTAGAAGTTGCTAAGAGACTGGTGACTAGCAGAGGTCTGTGGTTGGAGCAAAGATTCTCAGTGCGCAGGGACTTTGGGACAAATGTCTGGCATCACAACCTCCTTGGTGGGTTCCACATGTCACTCCCAAAGGGCAGAAATAATGATTTACAATCAACAGACACAGCCAGGACACATTCCAACTAGACCCCGAAGCGGAGGACACCACACAGAGGTCCTCTTCTCTAACTCACACAGACTTTAGCGAGCATTCTCCTTAAGCAGGCAGCAACAGAGCTTACGCACCAACTACTTGCCAGACACTCTTCTAGGTTGAGGAGGGGGTGGAGATATATGAGGCTGACAGAATCCCAGACCAAACAAGATTTGAGGGTGGAAAAAGGGAAGTGGGAGTAACTATGAAAGATAAGTATTTACTCAAGGATCTCTGATTAGGAAGTTGAACTTTGAACAGATTCAAAGGAGACTGTTTATACTGAAAAAAGTAAAATATTATTATGGCAGTTTTTTAAAAATAGCCAAAAATTCTTTGATGCTCCATCTACGAAGAGGCTGTGCGCCCTTTCCTTGAACCGGAGTGGGTCTGTGATTCCTTCGACCACTGGGGTACAGCAAAAGTCACACGGTTTGGTGTCTAAGGCAAGACCATTAAAAAGCGTCCGTGAAGTTTCCACCTTGACCACTAAGACATTCACTCTTGGCGCCTCGGAACCACCACACAAGAAGTCCGATTAGTTAAGAGGCTACCAGGCTGGGAGGATGCCCAGGCTGCATGCCAAGGCCACGTGCTGGTGCCCCCTTCTCTCCACCCCCGCCAGTGGAACCTTTGAGTCATCCCTGCCTGATGAGTCTGTGAGTGAAGACACTTTCAGATGCTTCCTGGTGTCTGAGGCACCGCTTGCCATGTAAGCTTTCCCAGCCGAGGCCCCAGACACTGGGGAACAGAAACAAGTCCCTGCCATGCCCACAGAACCCGTGAGCAAAACAAAATGGTTGTCTTTTGCCACTTAGTTTGGGGAATGCTTTATCATGTGTGTATTTTATCTGCAGCTGCTATAATAGAAAATGCCTCCGTTACCTGGAAGAATCTGGGCAGTCCATAAAGAATCTGAGCAAGACACCTTCTCGCCTAGATTTTCGGTCCAGGGACTAGCATCCCCATGATGCCATCCAGAGTTGTCCACAAATCCATTTCTGTCTCTTTCCCTTGGTGTAGACTACACAGAAGGTATTCAGTAACTTTGCAGAATGACTGACAGGCTCAGAGGGTTCAGGGGAGAGAGATGATATTCCAGACAAAGCAAAGGGACAGGGGTGAGTAAATAAAGATGGGTCCCCAGGGAGAACACGGGGGGCCATGTGAACTTCATCCTTCATCCTTTCCCTCAACGTTTATGTGCCCATATCTTTAGGCCTTTAGTTGTTTTCGTTATTTGAAATATTCTTTCCCATCTGCTTAATGAGCTCCTACTTATTCAAGGCCTACACCCCTGTCATTTTCTCCAGGGCTTTCTCTGACACTGCCCCACTACAAGTGGAAGTAATCACTCCATTCCACTCCTATAACTCTTTCCACAACCTCTTGTATAGCAGGCAGGATACTCTGCATTCTATTTAACTAGAGGCCCAGTGCGCAAATTCATGCACAGATGGGATCCCTCGGGGTGGCCTGCAGGGTTTGGCCCCAGCTCATGCCCCCAGGCTCACAGCCCCACCTGGCACCCTGCTGTGGCCTGGTACTGCTTTCTCACCTGCTCCACCAGCCTGCCTGTGGGGGTGATTGGGTCAGGGCTGGGCTTCCCACCTGGCTGCCTCAGTGCCAGGGAGCTGAACGGCACGTGCCCTCCCCCCCCTCCCCCCCGCCACTGATTGCTATCTTTGGGGTGATGGGCAGGGCGACCAGGCCCTGCTCACACCTGCCTTGGCCTGGCACCATCTGCTAACCTGCTCCACCATGCAGCCACGGTCCTGCTTTCGCCAGGGCCCACTGGGGCCAGCAGCATCTCCAATGCGGCCAGCACCATGTAGCTGATGCCCGCCATGTTCCACGCTGCCCCCTAGTGGTCAGTGCATGTCATAGTGAATGGTTGAACTCCTGGTCAAACAATTTGCATATCAGGCATTTATTATATAGGAGGATTAGTAAGTTCAATTGTCTGTTTTCCTTGATAAACTGTGAGCTACCAAAGAGCAAGATGATTTTTATTCATCATCTCATGTCCTGCTTGAATATCTTTGTGCCAAACACTAGGTCAAAACAGAAAACTGCTGGTGCTGAGAAGCCCACATAAATAAGGGGAGAGATCTAAGAACACAGTCACATTGCGGTGTCATGAGAGCGGCACAGAGGTTATGGCAGGATGACGTGGGAAGACGAATCTTCAGAAGGAAATCAGGAAGCGGCACGAAGAAGCTGACATTTGAGGTGGGCCTTGAAACCAAGTTAAAATCAAAAGGCTGCCTGGGGGGAATCTCTGGAATCCGAGCTGAAAGGTCTCAGAAGAGAACGCTAAACAAGAGGAACATCTGGTTAGGGCTGGCCCATCTTTTCTCTCCCCACTGTTGGAGATTTCCCTGCTCAAGTTATTCCAAGTTCTCTTTTT